CGCAGCCATTGTAGATCGTTCGTATCACGGAGCGGAAATCACGGAAGATTATTATCGATATCCGTCGGATCTGACAATTTCGTTGACTTTTTGATAATTGTTTCCTGCCTATTGTATACTCAATTTTGTGTGTTGCTAAAGTAATCGGCGTTTCACAAGTGGGAAGCGCGCTTAAGTTTTTAATTGTTCATTATAACTCGATTCTTCTAAAAACAGAGTTTCATAAGAAAATGAAAGCAGTAAAGGATGAAGTTGAACTAATTATTGGATTTAACGCCAGGAGGTTTATCCAACCAAGCAAATATATCTTTTACCAAGTAACACGGTTGTCCCATTTCTTTTCCATATCGCCAGACTATATAAACCAAATCATATTGTATGAACCAGCCCCACAAGGTAGACACGTAAAGCTCTGTGTGAAATAACACTACAGACAAGTCTTGTTCTTGATGCTGAGATATTGTTCCAATTTCAATATGGCCCATTGGAGAGGACGTCCTGTAATTAGTTAATGTGGCGGATTAAAACGAAATCGGATTAAAACGAAATTTTGGGTTTCCTTTTAATGCCACATATACTCTTTTACTAACAAATGGTATCCTAAATCCTAACCCAAATTCCCAAAAAAAGGCTAAAAATTATCCCCCCCCCAAAATTTATAATTTTCATACTAAAATAGAAAAAATTTCGGTTTAATCCGATTTGTTTTAATCTGTCACAGTTAATATGTCAAGGTTTTAGGTACCGTGGTCGTCATGGTGCGGCCGAACACATCACGTAGCAAATCAATTTTTAAACAAACTCTTACCTTTTCCTTTACGTTTCCAGAGTAAATTGTCAGTTTCGTTTTCAACAGGATAACTCCCCCTGTCCACAAGGCAAGCAAAATAACCGACCTGTTTCAACGCCATAGTCTTCACATTCTTGATTGACCCTTTTATTCGTCCCCGATCGAAGAAGTTGTGGACAAATGTAAATTTGCAATTATTAAAGAAAGGACTTTCAACAATAATCTGAATGATGATCTCTCTCCTTATATTAGCGAATAATATGAATGCAAAGGTAATTGAGCAGGAGTGGAGAAAGATAAATGATTGAAATTTTGTACATATTTTAGTAGCTGTGTTTGACAACATATACAGTAAGTCTACAAAAATAATTAGATTAGATTCCGGATATTTATGACGACTACTGTAATTACGTCAATCCAGAGGTTTAGAATTTCTTAACCCTATAACACCTTCATACATAGAATCTCTTCTCTCACCTTACGTCATTGTCTTGTCTAACATGTACATTCATGACAGTTGAGAAGATCGCTCAGCACAAATTCGAATGTGCTGAAGTTAGGTTTACTTTAACGGTTAAGGTTCCAGAGTAAGAGTAATGTCAATGCAAAAAGTGTATCCTAATCTTACAAGCACACTACCAACAATTATCACGAATTTCCAAAGATTGAATCGGAAGGTAAATCAAAACGCATTAAAGTTTGACGAGTTCCGTGTAAGATGACCACGAAACGGTTTGGAGGAATAGTGCGTCATGGTTTAATGAAGGAAAAAGTTGCCCTTCAACCATGATAATAAATTGCGGTTAGATAACCGCTCACGTAATATATACCTTTACGTATCCTCCATAGAAAATGATATTATGAAGGGAGCTCAATAATCAGTTATTTATTTACATTTTTTTTTACTTTTGGCACTTCTAGATAACTAGCAACCCCATAATGTCCAACGGATTGAGAGCGTTTCTCCACCATGCCAAGGAGATCCGTGCAAACTCCTCATAATTTGTGTCATTATTGTTTATGAAAAATATGTAGTCTATAAACAACGAATCGACTATATAATTATTGTTTACATAGATTGATCGAACCTTGCTTCGCTTTTGTGTGCGATATCGCAATGATTTATCAGCGTGTAATACAGGAGATTTCCAATAACGAAGTGTAACACTCATTGTTTCTTCACATTGCAATGAATCGCTAACAATATTATTCTGGGCCTTTTCTCGTATTTTCGCCAATCTTCGCCTCGAGTGTTTCCTCGATGTTCTCCGAACCCGTTGTCCCGCATATCTTCTGATGGACGAACTACGTCTGGTGAGGGTAGCACTCACCTCCCATGACTCATCCGTGGGTTCTATTTTATAATAGCTTGTGTTTATACTGCGACTTGGGAGATTGTCTTCAATCTGATTCTCATCCATGACCCAAACTTCATTTTGATTTCCCCTGTCTTCAACTATGGAACTATGTTTCGTCTTGCTGCAACTTTTCCAGAAACATCTCTTACGCTTTTTAGCACAGTTCAAAGACGATTTATGAAAGTTGTGTATGGCGGATAACACTTTTGATGCCGATATAAGACATGATGGACGCTTCGTCCAAGCCTGCTTTTTCCTAGTACGATCCTTCACAGTCTGAGAATATTTGCATGCTGGTTGTACGGATTTTTTACGAATAGCTTTCCTTCGTTTCAGCTTGTAACGAGTATGTTGAATAACCTTGTGCGAATGCGTCATGCTATTTGATTTTATGGAATGGTTAGAAGTTGGTGACTGATTTTTGTCCTCCCATTTTCTCTATATCCTTCCTCTGCTTATTTATATCCCCTCTCGCTCCCACGAAATGAGAATCGGGCTAACCAATTTCAAATATTTGTTCTATCGAAATTCCATTGTGAGATAAAAGAACGTATACCCGGTTTCCATAAAAGACTTTTTACCTCTCCCCTGCATGTTCGAATGATTGTTCTGGATGTCGTACAGCCAATCCATATTCAACGTCATTGTATATAGTAATAGATAACGATAAAGAAAACAAGGATAACGTTCGACTATTTTGTTGAACAGAAACGTATAAAAAACTCACACATCATTGCTATTTATTATGGACTGTTCATTATATCACAGACTATTGATCAATGGAAGCTTATATTAATATTCAACTATAAAACTTTGCAGGCATATCCCTTGACATTCGTGAACTAGTAATCGAATGCTGGTAGTGTCTTGGCCGGTCTTTTTTGAGAGTTCTGGCCTTCCTGTGTAGATCAGAACTTAACGATCTTGCCATGTTCAGGGCTGCTGATGTGAATTTTCGATATGACTCATCATCTCGCCATTTCTGTTGATCGAATATTGTGCGAAAATATTCTAGATCATCAATAAGACCATCGACTGCAGTAGCAAAACTATAATGTTAATAACTACTCCCAAATGAATGACTAGCATGCGTCACTTACTCAAAGTAGCCACATGCATCATATTAATAAATTAATGGTAAACAAACGAAGATATGCGAATAATACAAATAGATAAATAAATAACTTACTTTCTTGCCTAAGAATCGATAAGCCTTCTCTTCTCTCCTCTGATTTCGATAACAACATCATAGCATTCGCTTTCTGCATAAGTTTCTCCATACGTTCAGTATACATCTCCTGTTTCTTCAGAACGTCTTCGGCCATTTCCTGTGCTTGTGTTTGGGACAGACCGACGTGCGTGTCTCCCGTATTGTGATGAAATCTGTTGGTCGATATATGAGACAGTATAGAGCGTTTAGGTTGCATGGTGACCGAGTGCATAATGGGGAGTTCTTTAAACGAGACAGAGGAAAGAAACGGGCGTCACTGATTAGCTTTCGTTTATTTTATTATTGCGCTAACGCAATTTTGCTCTTTGTCACGCGACAGTTGCCAAGTCAAATGATCAACTTACGTGTAATGTGTACTAGTGAGTGGAAGGATGCGTTTCACCGGCCAATTAGATAACAGTTCAGCTAAAATAAGCCTAACTTTGAAAACGGGATATCTAAACATTATGTGTAATTGACAACAAACATTTGTAACAATGATTTCCTAACAGATTTTTTATTTATACTACAGCTGTTATTTCAGTATTTCGTGAACCGACGTTACACACGGATTGTTTACTAATGCATACAATAGTATAGCAATAGCTGATGATATGTATACAATGCAAATATCCTGTATTATGTCTCTATGCTCAAAGAAGTTACGATACCGTAAATTTAGTTGATCTTTCAAATGTAAAAAGTTTTGATATCCAAAATCATTATGTATGTCATCTGCCTGGTCAATGAAACGAGTCTCTCTTTCTTTCCTTCCGCCTATTTGGTAGATAACGCAGTAAGCTCAAAAGACTTCAGGAATTCTATCTGTAGTAAACATTTTAGACTGAACGAACGAGATAAAATGAACTTGGCTAAAGACTTTGAACTTTGACCAATCACAAATGATCTGCTTACTTTTAATGATCGACACACTTTTAATCTAACCAGGAAAATTATCAATTCTCCCAAAGATTATGAACCGCGAAAGTCGAACAAGTGATTTTATTATTAATTAACGAGAGCGAGCGAAGAGTCGAAAAGGCTGTCAGAAAAAGATTGTTATGATTTTATTGTTACTGGTTCGAGAGTCATAACCATTATTGGGTAGTTTTTGCAATTCTCAATTATCGTGAGCGAAATATCACTGCAAAGCGACACTTAAATTGGGACCAATTATTTTGTGTGTGGGATGTTCGAGTTTCTACTGTTAATTGCCCTCGGCTCATAATATACGTCATAGTAATAAAGCGCTCTTACGAATTTTATACCTCGTGTAACGTTTGATTCTGCCGAGCAGGGTTGCTGGAACTAGTATTGATGTCACTAAATATGTACATAGCAAGTTCGCGTTACTTTAGAAGTTTATATTGCAAAATAGCCTCGCGCTCGTATTCCACGGGTCCGAAAATTAGAAACATATGCACATTAAATTCAGCAGTACTTAATATGACATACGAAGATGATATCCGTTTAGCAATAGAACTGTCTCTGAAGGAAAGATCTCTGAGCGATAAACAACAAAGCTTGGAGTCTGTCGATAATCAAAAAGCGATAGCCCAAAGTTCCTCTGCTGACACACGTAATGACGCAAATATTTTGGGATCCTTACCAGATAGAAAACAACTAGAAAGAGAAAGGTTAGCTAGAATCGAAAAGAGAAAGAACGAGAGCTCGGAATGCGGCAGTAATGAGAAGAGACGGATAACAGATACTGGCGCTATCGGTCGCAATGACGTTGGTAAAGTCTATGATTGCAAACGAAATCAAACGAATTGCTTTGTAGTTTAATATTAATGTCGAGGGCGTTTTTGTAAATTTGTCCCCTTGCTGAGCGTAGCGTCAGGTCCAGTCTATTTAAATGGAATAACTAAACTAATACACGTCTCTGGGTTTGATGGAGACTACTTTCGTTTTGAGGATCTCATCCACAAGGTTTAGCAAAATCTTTCTATCGCGTGACGTTTCATGCATGTACTTGTTCTAATTGTCTCTCTCTTCACTGCGCATAAAAGGCGGGTCTCAAAAAAGGATTCTTCTCTACATACGTCTTTGATTCAGATTGGTTTCTTAGTCACATACCAAACGATGCGAACATTGTGTTAGCCATGCATTGGTCTCCAGATAATGGTGAGAAGGTTTGTAATAATCGAAACTGTTTACAGTTGAGCTCTGATTTTCTGAGTATGTCTGACTGAGAGTTTTTCTTATCGTCTTCTAGCAAGGTGTCTTCCCTCTTTCAACCTCCAAGTACAAGTTGACCATCGTCCATCCACCAATGCCTCCATCCGGATTTGGTTGCTTCCATCCTAAGTTAATGTTGTTATTTTACGAGAACTGGATGCGAGTTGTGATTTCATCAGGTAAATATCAAATAATCAAATGTTACTAATGCCTGACACAGCTTGGTAAATCAACTTACCCAAAAGCCCTGCTCTTCAGCCAACTTGGTGCCATACGATTGGGATACTATGGAAAACATAGCCTTCGTTCAAGATTTTCCTGTGTCTGGAAATACTGTATCTTCAATTGACGAACTACCATCATTTGCAAGAGATTTGTGCAGTTTCTTAACTGCTATGAAAGTGCCCGCTCAAGTTTGCGATAAACTTAAAGAGTATGATTTCACAAGCGCACAGGTTGTATCATATGGCGAGAAGCTGCAAATTCTTTGGCAGTCGTTTTTGATGCTAACGGAACGATTTTGAATTATAGGCCATCCTCGTTCCTTCAGTAGCTGGGACACATCGTAGTTCAAAATTAAAGTTATACGGTCATACGCGGTTAGCAGAAGCAGTTAGGACACTCTGCGGTACGTTGGATGATGTGCAACTTGAATGTCAGGTATCTAACATATTATTTATATGAATCATGTGTTTTTCCTGCCTGATTGTGAATTTTCGTCTAATGTAAATAATAGACATCTTCGCTAGGAAGTCTTCATCAGCGATTTTTGGAAGAGTTCTATCGCTCAGCAAGTGGACTCGACCCTGTTGATCGAAGTGTTGGGAAAAAAAAGGAAACGAGTGTGACACCCAAAATTGCTGTCGGTTTCCCATCACTAAAGACAGTGCAACAGTCAAGACATGGACCAGCGGTTTGAACGACTTGAATAGTAATAACTAGTATAGTGTTGATTTACAAATGTAATCAGTTCCACTAATTACATAATTTTCATACGAAAGGGTGCGGGGACAATATTTCTTTCCAGAAAACACTATGAAAAAAGTACATTTCCGAAACACGTTCTTCGTGATTCCGTTTCTCGAAGGCGCGGAACGCTGATGCATTTAAAGGTATTCTTTATGATGTATGGTAGTGATTGTTATTTGGTCAATTGCATTTCGCTTTCGCGTCCTAATTTAAATCTGTTACAGCTTATACTGGCATACACAAACCAACAACCAGAATCTCCGAATTACAACAGCCAATCGACTGATGCATCGTCTGCAAAAAGTAGAGTTACAGGATGGTATTATTGTGGCAGTCATAACTTCACAATGGCTGCCTGGGGCCAACTTACTACATCTCGTCAGAACAAACAACTACAATTGACTATAAAAAATTGGGAACTCGGCGTAATACTGCCTATAAAGGAGGATGATAACATAGACGATAACAACGATCGGCTTCTGAGCAGTGGTTTGCCTATACCGTTTGAAAGACCACTTCGAAAGTATTCAACGACGGATGAACCTTGGGTATGGTTTGATGTTTATTCCCGTATCTGTATAGTAATGATATTAATGAGCGATCCTCGACTAATACCGCGTGTTTGTTTAGATGAAATTCTTATAATTGTTTGTGGCACATAATCGTAGCTATGTTCCAATCATATCGCTAGATTGAATTATGTCATAAGAACCAATTCTCATGCATACAGGTTGTTTTATCTGTTTGTACTAAATGTCTCAGGTATACCACAAAGCATTCTACTTATCTGTTAGAGATACGGATAATTATAATGTTTAATAAAATTCCTATCTGTCGCGAGATCAGGTCCCTGATCCACCAAAACATTTTGTAAACGATTCAAATGAAGTACGTTTTCTCTGGCCAGGATATTTGATTCTGTTTATTGAGATAAAAGATGGGACGGATTCATAAATTGAATAAAACTTAGATTGTGGTAGAAGCGCTTCGTGGTCTGTGCTTGACCCGTCCATCCTTGCGATTTATTGAGAGAGAAAAGGGTAAGGGAGAATTTTATAATCGCAAAATGTTGGATAATTCCTGACTTTTAGCAATGATATTTCGGACACGGTTTAGTCGTATACAGGACAGATATCGACATAATCAGAACTAAACAAGTTACGCTTATTTCGGGCGGTAAGTTAATGACGGCCGTATTTGTAATACGGGTTCGTAGCATGGCATATTTATTTATCGGCACGACAATATACAAAACTAGGTGGAGCGGGTCATGAACCAGCACACGCGGGATTTGTTGGAGCAAATCTTTTATCAGCCGCAGTCTCTGGCAATGTCTTTGCTTCTCCGTCAGCGTCACAAATCCTGGCTGCTATTCGTCGCGTCCAATCACCCTATGGAACATTGCTTATAGTCAAGAATTACACAGGTGATTGTTTGAATTTCGGCCTCGCTGCCGAACGAGCGAAAGCAGAAGGAATCAAAGTCGACATGATAATTGTCGGTGACGATGTCGGCGTTGGAAGGAAGAATGATGGACTCGTAGGGAGGCGCGGTCTAGCGGGAACTGTATTGGTACATAAAGTAGCAGGAGCCGTTGCAGCGAATGGGTTAGTAGTCTAGAGTGATTTGATGAATTCATAATTGAGTTGGGTGTGTATTGGGTCAAGTATTGAATTGTGTTGCAGGGCTACTCTGGAACAAGTCAAAGCGGCGGCGCGAACGGTCATTGAAAATCTGGGCACAGTTGGAGTTGCATTCGATCGTTGTACTATTCCCGGGTCAGATAACAAGTCTTTGTTACCTGCAAATCAGATTGAATTAGGTTTAGGTGAGAGAGAACATTTTGGTGGATTATGTCTATCTGTAAAAATGGAGAAAAGAATTATTAATACCTCCGTTTCATTCCGTAATCTTGTTGAAATATCACGTTAAAGGAATTCATGGTGAACCAGGAAGCAGCCGAATCTCTTTATTACCTTCCCGAGAACTTGTACGACAAATGTTGGAAATGATTATTTCAAAAACAGATCCCGATCGGTCATACTTGGATATCCAGGAAAACAGAGATTCGGTTGTGCTGTTGGTCAACAATCTCGGCGCTACGTCTGGTCTTGAATGTAGTGTTGTGTTGAACGATGCTCTTTTATACTTGAGTACGTTACAGCGAATTTCATGCCCTGTAACTGATTACGCTTGATGTCTAAATTAAGTTATCAAATATCCTCGTAGATGAGAGAGGATTAGAAGTGAAGAGAAGCTTCGTTGGGTCTTTTATGACATCTCTAAATATGCCGGGAATTTCCTTGACCATTCTTAAGCTACCGCAAGATGAAGACCTGATTAAGCACATTGATAAACCCGTGGATGCACCAGGGTGGATGAATTACGTGACAGTAGATACCTCCCAACTTGATGAAGAGCTAGATGAGAAAGTGTCTGATTCGACTCACGTGCCAACCTATCAATATAAAGTTATTGGTAACTATGACAGCCATTTTTACTAATATTAACAAATTTGAGTTTTTATCCGTTTTTATTGTATGACTTTGCTGATACGTTTGGATTTTCAGTTGATCCGTCGCTCTTCGAAAGAACCGTCAGGTCTGCCTGTGAATCAGCTATCAAAAACGAACCTGAAATAACAGCTGCGGACACGATTGCCGGTGATGGAGACTGCGGAATAACTATAGCAAATGGCGCAAAAGGTGATTATACAGTATTGTACGAGCCTATCGAAACTTTTATGTTAACTAAGATACAATGATCGATTCAGCTGTGCTTGGGGCTTTTGAGAAGAATGAAATAGATTCAAGCGATTGTTCTAGGGCGTTACTTCAAATCAGCAATATATTGGAAAACACTATGGGTGGAACTAGCGGTGCATTGTATTGGTATGCCGACATATCTTGCGTATCTGGGTGTTTGTGAGCATTGACCTAACGCACTTTTCTGTTCACTTAAGTATATTTTTAAATGCTCTTGCTCGCGAGTTGAGAAACGCTGTTGAAACGCGTAAAAATGCAGGACATACTGTAGCTGATGCACAATGCTGGGTTGAGTCTTTGAAGGTCTGGGTTTTTATTTTCACTTATTGTCAGTAATTAAAATCTTGACTAACTATTTCGAATTACGCCAATAGAAAGCGCTTAGTGACCTCGAGTCTTACACACCAGCACGAGAAGGCGATCGTACATTGATGGATGCACTTATCCCCTTTGTCACGTCATTTTCACATGCAATTTCGGTTGACTCTAACATGATAATGGCGTTAACTAAGGCTGCTGAGATGGCGAGTCAGGGAGCTCAGAATACTAGAAATATGCGGGCAAGATTAGGCAGGGCTTCTTATTTGGATGATGAATCACTCATAACTGCTGGAATAATTGATGCAGGAGCCCTTGCTGTTACCAAGATTGTTGATGAAATAGTGAAAGTATTGACTGCATGATATGCATCATTCACGTGAATCGTAGAACTGAGTAAACAATAAATCATAGTTTATTATCACGCTATTAGGATATAATGACAAATAAATTGCCTAAAAAGAAACGGTAACTACAGCCCCAAAAAATGACCGGGTAACACAAAATTTTGTAAATCATACATCAAATTCACACACATGTAAACGCAAATTTTACTAATGTAACTGTACTTCATGCACTAAGTAAAGTTGCTCGCAATA